TGCTGTGCTCTGCTGTGCCGAGTTGGTCAGTTCATTGGATTCATACCTCATCTACAACCGTACAGTTCCATCCTCATCGCGATATGCTTGTGCATGGTTTTTGGTCGCACCCTGATGTACCTCGATACAATGGGAGGAATAAAGGCATGCTTGACAATGGTGCTGTGGTCCACGTTTCCTGCAAAAATCTTGCCCGCTTCATAGTCAAAGAAGTGCTGTCCATCAAAGCTATATTGAATACTATAGCTCTTCACCCATTCATCGATGTCTTTATTACCTTGAGTAGCAATGTGTGTAACCTTGGTGACATGACCCAGATCGACTTGCAGCCATTCACTTATGTTGTTTGTCTTCGGTGCCCAGGCCCCTCGTTTGTGTGTTTCTTTCATAGCGTCTAGTCTCGCTCGTGCTGGATAATAGTACTTATTGTAGATTGACGACGCAGTGATGCTCGAGTCAGGTATGGCTCCACTTTTCATTCCCAAGGGATTGCTTGTTGTACACGATGCTGATCGATMAGAAAATAAAAGTAAAGGTGGATATGACAAATCAATGCATTCCTTTGTCTTTCTTTCAATGATATCCATATAGTATCGTAGAATGATTCGTTTGCCGGTATTTGTGCGATCATAAGGAGTCTGTAAAGAGCTATCATCTAGTGAGTTTTAATTTCATCCTGATCATGCATTTCCGGTGGCGAAAATTTTGCTCCAAAACCTCGCGCGCAGGCGTCTATTAAATCCTGATTATCTCAAAAACAAGCTTGGAATATTCAATATTCTTTTCGAATTTGGTGTCAGCATTAAATTTCACTATAGGAAATTGTAGTTTAAAACAAAGTTTATTTTTTCCCCAAAGAGTAGCCAGTCACCTTAATGCAGCGTGATTGTATGAAAGCGAAGAAATTTATTAAAAACTATATCACGAAGTATTCTCACCGTTGTATCTACTGCAATGATCACAGGTCAGTTTGCAGAAATAGGCACTCCAGGAGCTGTTGCACTTGTTCTTGGTCTTTATGATGTTGCAGCTTCGTTGCGAAAGGATGTCATCACAATCTGGAAGTTTGAAAGTGGAAAATATTCAAAAAGCATTATAAAATAACTGTTATGAATCTCGCGTTCTGATTGGTTGGATGCGCGTACTTTATGAGAGCACACAGCACGCGCGCGCACTTTCAATTTCGTCATTCCTGTAATTTGTATTTCATAAAAGAAATAAGAAACTTGCTTGCTGTGCTGTGTGGAGTTATGAAGCACTTGGGGATTGGGAGAACACTATAGAAGTGTCGAGAAGCACTCCGCTACGCGTCGTGCTTCTCCTAACACTTCTCTCGTGTTCTGCCAACCCTCGCGTGCTTTATGACTGCACACAGCACGCGCGCGTGTTTTCTATTTCTTCTAGACAAGTAGCGAAGGCTTACATTTTTGAAGATTACCACTACCACTACCACTACCACTACCACTACCACTACCACTACCACTACCACTANTAAGAAAATAATTTTTCTTGGAAAATATTAACGATAAATTTAAGAAATGAATGGAATTTGTCGTTTTATTACCATTACATTTCGCAGGCAAATTTGGAATCTCTTCGATAGATATTAATGATTATTATAATGATATTACTGAATATCGATAATATTCATATCATCATATAGGGAAATAATTCCAAGCATACACACCACAACGATTGAATTGAACGATATGTTTCCGAATTCAAATGTAAACGTGTCAGCTTTAATTTGACAATATTTTTTTGTGATATTGGTGAAAACGAAGCGGATGTTACAAACTCAAGTGGGCGGATGAAATATTTGTCTAGTTGATCCGAAGGGCGGTGGATTTTAAATGACTTAGATCACGATAGCCAAGGTATGACTTGAACATGGTTTTACATTCTTAGTTTGCTCCGCCAAAGTAAAGGCTCATGGTTAACGTAATTCTACCACTACCACTACCACTACCACTACCACTACCACTACCACTACCACTACCTTCTTTTAAGTTCCTTCCAGCACAGTTTAAATATTATCTTTAAATTTAATTTAGACAATTTTGAAATATGACAGTAAAATGCTCACGGCACTTGATGTAGCAGAGCATGTTTTGTATAAAGGAGAACTTGCAGTAGCCGTTTTTCTTGATGTACAGACAACTAGCGTTGCTCAATAGGTCTTTGACCGCAGCAACACGCTTTTCAAGAGCAGCATCATTATCTTTAAAAAGAAAGGAGAGAAAAAATAAATTAAATTAAAAAAAAGAGAAAACTTCCTTGCGTGAATCTATCGTATTTTACGTTTACCAGCTGGCATCTGAAGAAGGCTTAATTTTACTTGAAATATAAACAGAAATATTGCAAGAAAGTACTTCATCCTATTTTTCCTTGTCTTCGCGCGTACACTTAACTTTCTTCTTCAACGGCAAAGATTTACTGCGGATTCACTGCGGAAAATGAGGATCAATAATAAAGACAAAGTAAAAGGGGAAAAATTAACTGAATAAATTTGACATTTTAGGGAGTTTCAATTGTCTAATATAAACATGCAGAGACGTTTCRAAAACAATTTTTGACAATTATGGTGTAAGAAATTTTTAAAAAGAGATTTTGTAACTCCGTTAGGCTTTGGATACAAARTGTTTAAACAACATAATTGTATATATGATTGAGTTTATTGATATTCCTCTGCTATCCTTAAAAACAATAAGTATTTATAATAGCTAAGAGTCCTAAGAATACTGCATTTTTTATATAATAAATTCTTTTTGGAAACCTTTTAGAATTGTAGGACCGTCGATGACACTCTAGAAACGTGTTTTAACAGGTATGTTATATAAACAAGGTACAACTTCCCGTCTGTCTAATCATCAGTAGTAGGGTTATTGTGATTAACCTGCATTGTACGGTAATGTGTCGGTAAGTCGTCGACCATCCAATTGATTACCTACATCTTACGATTACGTTATCGAACACTTACCGACACCTTACCGTTACATTATCGACCACTTACTGCTACGTTATCGACCACTTGCCGACACTTTAACGGTATCTTACCGACAGTTTAACAATAAATTAATAGAATAGAATAGGAAAAAAATCAATAATGTCTATTCAGGTTATCCATTTTCAAAGACTGAAGCTGCTATACTTGGAAGAAATCAGTGAGAAATGAACCGATCTTAATTTAATCTAATTTTCTCCATTAGTTACTTATTTATCTATTTTCATTATTAACAGCGATTTCCTTTTCACGATTTAAGGCATCGAGAACTAAAGATACTTGCAAACATCTATTAGGTATTAAAGTAGCCCTTTTCTCATTTGGGTCGCATAAATATCGCTGTGTTTTGAAACTAGTGATGTGTCCCACAAATCAATAATCCCAGAATGTCAGTCATTAACATGGCGGTATATGTCGTGACAGCAGATGAAATAAAATATTAACTATTGTAACCTGACCCGTGTTTTAGGTGTTTATGTTTTAGGTTCGTTAAAAATGTTTCTATTTCTGTCAACGTTTTTCAACGAAAACAGGGCAAACAAGGTAGTGTTCTAGAACGTTCCATTTTGTACAGGTATCCATGGTAACCCTAGTTCAAAACATAACACCCGAATTAGATATATCGCAAGGGGCCCATAACTCATCAATGACAGTTGCATTAATGGTTTTCATACATGGTCAGCCGATTTGGTCTTTGACTGGAGCAAGTCAATATGTAGCCGTGTTAATAACTATATATTGACGGCCAAAAGCTAAAGCTTTTTGAATAACAAAGAAAACCGTGTCAATAAACCTCCTCGGCTCTGGAGCGCTCGAGCCGTAATAATGTTGTCCCTTTTCAGACCATGTGTCATTCCCTTGAGAATAATATTCTTTGTTTGAGTTGTATCCATATACATGTGTCTTCTCATGTGCAACCGAGCACAAACCTTAAACAAAGAAATGATACTCTAGGCTGACACGTGGTCTGAAATGAACATTATGTCAGAGCCGAGGAGGTCTATTGATAAATAATCCCTGATATTCACTTTGTCTTCGGCGAGTAATTGTTAAATATTTCATTTTTTAGTTATAAGCTCCAATGTATCTTGATTTATAAGGAGTCAATAAAATATATTGTCTTGTCGAAAAGGGGAGTTTTACTTTATTGGGGCTTGATTCAATCAATGTATAAGATGCCAAATATACTATTACTTACTTACACACTATTACTATGACTTACTTACACACGACCACAGCAACGCTGTAAAACTTATCGTTTCTAAATAAATATTATTTTTAATTTACTTATCACAAAAATGAGATTGAGGGGGGAGAGAGAGGTATATTAAATTATTACTCACTATTAATTCGCAACAAAAATTCTTCGATCCCCACCCCCTCCCCCCCAGACAGTAAATAATGTCCTCTCCCTATACCTTTTGCACATTATCTGTAAATATCGTCATCTCCGTCATTTTCTGGCTTTCAAACAAGTTATCCGTGGGCCAGAAGAATCCATATTTTTGCTGTTCACATATTGCTTACTTTAATATTGAGTATTGATTACTTGATATTTGATATTTCTATTGCGCATGCTCCATTTAAAGATGCATGCTCGCATACAAAATGAAGAATATTTTAGCGATGAAAAATATTTTTGTCTTTCAATACATCTAAAGCCATTCCAGCTGATCTGAAATAGTGACGTAGAAATGATGTCACTAAAAAACTGAGGGGTCATAAAGCCTGTGAAATTGACCATCGAAAAATGAATATATGCCCGCCATTGCAATTGAAAAAAAAAATCTAATTAACGAATTAAAAGCGCTTATTAGCAGCATTGCTTTTCGTTTTTGTGACCTGGAAGTCTATTTTTTCAAGAGAAAAAGAGTCACATTAGTTCTACAAATTTCTCATTCATTAGTTAAGCGTTTTTTTTYTCTCAGGTCAGCTGGATTTTAAATCATTGTACAGATCGAGAGAAAAGCCCTTTTCTTTTTAAAGTTTCCGTATACAGTCTGCTCTTTCTAATAACCAATCTCCATGGTAGCCAATGTTGCCTCGAAACCCATAGTTGTCAAAATCGCTTTTTGTATACCCGCATTCGCGTTCGCGCCTTTTCTGCCTCGTCGTTGGCTTCACAGACGGCCATCCGTCGCGTCTCGGGCAGACCATTCGCATCTAACGATGGAACGTGAAGTTGGACTCCCTGTGTTCTTGAGATTGTGTTGCTGTCTGCTGATTGGTTCCCTGGAGCGCTGCGGGGTCGCTGTGGTCTCGACGGCTGCGATTCTGAATTACTTGGAGAGCTATCTGTTGAACATACCGAACCGTTTCGATGATGGCTGTCATCACTCTGACAATATAATACAAAACATTAGAATACACAGGGAGCCCAAAATGAGATTTAAGGGGGAAGCACATAGCTTCAACTAAAGGAGGAGATAAGCAATATATTTTAATAATTCCTCTTAGCATTCTGTAGTTATTTTACACTTAAAATCAGAAAGCCGAATATTTTTGAAGATCACCACTATGATGACATAATTGCCGAGTTTCATCAGGATCGTGGGAGGACTGGGTCGAGAAAGGACAACCGTGAAAACGATGCCAATAATATATTTTTCATTGACACTATTTCCCAGGAAGTTTAAGCTTATTTGGTTTAAATCGTGTAACATTTGTCGAGCTCATATTAAATGTGCCAGTTCACTTAATCCAAGCGTTTCTTGTTTCGTTTCTTCCTTACTTTTCTTGTTCTTTTCTTTCCTTCTTACATAAACCGCTTTCGCTTCGCATAATCAAAAGCAAAAAACGTRTAGGCGGCATATAAGATATCTCAACATGTTACAATTCTATACTACTATTCAACTATTCTAGACACTAAACAATTAATCAAAAATACTGTATTTTAGAGACAGATGGCAACTTAAAATTTAACTTTTTACCCAGATGTAATATTAACGACGCAATTTCTTAACATTTCTCGTGACATTTCCTGGGTTTTGTCAGCTTTTTATTAATTAATCCCTCTTAAAAACCAATCACCCCTGCCTTGCAATATATCATTATTAGAGTACTCGTGATTTTGAAAAACATATATATTTCCGTAGTTTCAATTTGTTATGTAATATCTGTATTCATATATATTTTTGCGTGTATTCGCTTGTGTGTGTGGTTTTTTTTTATTACTATTTTTATTATATTATTATTATTATTATTATTATTATTATTATTATTATTATTAACTGATTGTATTTGTTTGTATTTGTTTGGTCACCTCTATATCGTTAGTTTCAATATGTTATGCCGTAATATTTAATCATTAGCATTAAGTCTTATACCCCGTTCACACCTAAACGTGTTTAGTTAGACTGTGTTTCATGAGGGRAAAAAAAAAGAGAAACTAGAGACCTACAATATAATGAAACTTTCTAAAATATTGTCAGAGCAAGACAAATGATAGTTTACGTGCATTATTTCACCAAATATTGTGCAGTGTTTGTAGATAGTTTTCCAAACCTGTTTAGTTAAACCACTTTTAAACATGTTTAAGCTTTCGTGTGAATGGGGTATTAAATACTTATAACAGATATATAGACGCTAATGATAAAATAAACTGAAACTGAAACTATCTATAGTTTTTGTAAGCTCAATAATTTATGTGCGTATGTACTTATTATCATTATTATATTTTTATTTCTTTTGCTTTTTATTTCTTTTTTTATTTTTGGTAGTGCAATTTCTTTTTTGTTTTTCTTTGTTCTTCTTTGCTCTTCTTTCTTCTTTCTTTCCTTTTTCTAAAGTTTAGTTTAGTTTAGTCTTATTGTTTTTGCTTCGGTTTTGAAATTTTATTTTATTTTATTGTTATTTTTTAATTTATTTTATTGTTATTTATTTATTTATTTTTGTGTTCTAATATGTGGTTTTATTTTTGTTTATTTTGTTTATTTTTATTTTTATTTTTTGTTTTTTGTTTTTTGTTTTTGCTCTTGTTTGGGTTTTCTTGTATATTAATCTTTTCTTAACATTTAGAGTCGTTTTTAAAAACCCTTGAAACAAAGTGTAATATCTAAGGTGTAATAAATTGTAATACACCGAAAACTCAAAAGAAAATCAAAAGAAAATGCGGACAATAAAGTATATTAAAGTGTAACACGCTAAAGTGTATTTCACGGGTTTTTGAAACTACTCTAATCAGATTAACACATTTATTTATTGATCGGATTTTCCAACCCTGGCTATGGCTCCGAGAGATTTAAAATATGTCTGTGCAATTATAAACTACTTCAAGTTGGTCACAAGTAGTATGTATACAGTCAATGCAAAACATTTTGTCGTCGACCAACTCAAGCCCACGTGAATACTGGACCGAAACGAACTCTTGGTAGCAATCATTGAAGCCGAGTTGACTCCATAATTTCATCTGACTAGTTATTCCTGGTTTACGGCACGAACCTTCGTAGGCGAGCGAGAAGTGTTAAAGGAAACGTTATTTAAATCATATTTTCAAAATTGTGAACTGAATCATAACTACTTTGTTTTTCTTTCCCTAAACCCAAAGACATGCATTTGATGGAATGTTTCTCGCCATTATTATCTTATATACTAGCGGGAACAATTAATTTGCAGTTCATTCGAAACGCACGACTCCAGGCTTGAACTACACATCGAACAAACTTGAACTACGCAGCGGCGAGAGGGAAAAAAGTGACTTACACTGTAGGGTCATTTACTTCTACATGTACTAACAGAATCCGCTTGAACACTTTTTTCGTGTTCAGTTAATTAACGTCAATTGTCTCACTGTTCTCATGAGGAAATAGGACTTTGAATACAAATGAAAATTCGCGAACCATCTTGGTGACGCCATTATGCAAACGGACTATAATTGATTTCCCATTATTATCAAGCTTAAACACCGCGAAGCTTTAAGCTGTGGTTCCAACTAAGGAAACATTCACTAACTGCAACTCATCAATATTTTCACAAAAAAAGCGTCTTTTTCCGTTTCCTTGAAAAAGTCAACTTCGAATACATCAAAAACCAATTAAAAACCAATTACATTTTACCAAATAAATTAGAAATTGCGTGTTTTATACCATCTAGATGATGGTTAGCGCCGCCAAGTCGGGTAACATGATTCTTCGAAATAACCTGAACGGTAATTGAGGGCTGATTGGAATTTTATCTGTAGGAGGCGTGTTCGATCACGTGTAGGCAGCCATGACAGGAGGCGCAACAATAGGGTCTTTACTCCTGGAAAACTGAATATATTCAATTTTTCCTGTCTCCTTTCCAGTATGGATGCCGTCACGTTATCATGCAAAACCTTTAAACTAATAAAAAAAGTATTTTGAGCTTTAAAGATTTTTTTTTTTTTTGTCTTTATTAATTTTTCGTTTTTTTCCCTTGATTCGAAATTATTTTCTCTTTGATTAATTGTTGTTTTTTTCCTGGATTCGAAATGATTGATTTATTTAAGCGTGGTTGTAAATTCTGGATATTTTTTGTTTTACTAGTATTGTAAACTCTAAAAGACCATTTTGGTTTAAATTGATCCATTGCAAATTATTCAATTTCTAGCAAAATAATATGAGTAAATTGGGATATTAGAGAGTTTTAGATTTACGTTGACCAGTAAAAAATTATTTTAAATTACTGAAAAAGAATCGCAAAAAAGTCCAAGTAGTAGAAAAACAAAAGAGTATTTGTGCTTGGTGAGAAGGTTTGTAAAAGGTAAAGTAAAATACACGAAAGCTATGAAAACGTGGCCACGTTTGCCGTTTGCGGGGAGAAAAAAAAAGTCAATCTAAAACTCTCTATTGTCTCAAATATATCTCCTTGGCTCTGGAGCGCTCGAGCATAATGTTTTCCCATTTCAGACCACGTGTCATTCCCTTGAGAATAATATTATTTGTTTGAGCTGTATCCATATCCATGTGTATTCTCATGTGCAACCGAGCGCAAACCTTAAAAAAAGAAATGATACTCAAGGGAATGAAACGTGGTCTGTAATGGGACAACATTACGTCAGAGCCGAGGAGGTCTATTATGACATGGAGCTCCAGTAACCATAATTATGAAACCAGTTATTTTTATTTCTGTCCGTTATATATTTTTACTGATAACTAAGCTGATCATGGAATCTGTTTTAGTTGTTATTGAAAGCCTTTCAATGGACCAAATCAGCTTGGCGTAATGTTCTCCCATTTTAGACCACGTGTCAATCCCTAATAAGATTCCTTGTTTGAGTTGAATCCATATTCATGTGGTCTTTTTATGTTTAGACGCGTGGTCTGTAATGACGGTAAACATTATAACGCCAAAGTAGATTTGGTTTATCTCCTTGGCTTTCTTGGTCTTGCTGTACATTTTCTAATTCTCTTCGGTTGCTTGATATTAATCAGCTTAATGAATCTCACGAATCTATCAATGTCAACCAACATCATAGTCAAAATACTAATACTAATGGCTATCCCAAGTAATGGTTATCTCATTCGAAGACGTCAGACTTGATGTCTTTCTGCTTAAGATGGCTTACCGCTTTCATTACTGCAGACCATCTTAGCGCGATCAGTCTGATACTTTTCTTCTGAGAAACTATATCTAGTGTTCCAGGTGAGCTAGGATGACAATTAACACACACCAGGCTTTCTACCTATTAAACGGCTTAATTATAACACTGCCGCACCGAGACATTACAGTAAATAATAAAATAAGCCATGGCCACTTAATTGTCCTATTTTATAATGACGTCACGGTTTGTATACATCGGCTAAAATAATAAAAATTTAGGCTGAATTTAAGCTTAATTCTCTTCTTTGGAGATATTTAGCGTAATATGTAGTTGTTCTTGCTTCACCAGCTCTTAAACCAAATTTCATTGTGATTTAAGATGTGTTGTTGTCATTCCATCTCCCTCCAGCGACCATGATCCCTAGCGTTAAAACAATAGTTTGTTTTGATGTGACGTCATTATAAAATAGGGCAATTTCAAGATATTAAAATTCTAGCATAACGAGCTTTCATAAATAAATTGTTCAAAATTACATTAAACCTAAAAAAGGATCAGACGATATAGTGCTGTAGATTTGATTAGGATGTCGTTAAGTAGCGAACTCACTAGATGCATTTCTACCAACATTTTCTCATAGAGCGTTTTCACACACGTGACAAGGCAGCCTAATTGGTGGAGCAAACAATAGAAACCTTCTCAGTGGAGGATCCAGGAATTTTCAAAGGGGGTTCCGTTTCTTAAACTGTGTATAATTCTCTTTTGTTTAGCCGATGTTTGACAAAAAATTGGCTCTAATCACCTAATTTACTATCTAGTAACGGAACTTAAAGGTAAATTAAACATTATGACATCAAATGTCTATCATTTCGTGTTCAACATTATCTTTGTGGATACTTTTAAGCAAAATTTATATAAGACATATTTCTATTACCTAAAAGATCAAATCTTCAAGGGTTTTTTTTTTTTTGGACCCATGGGTTTTTTGCAACAGCCAAAAAAAGTTCAATAGAGACCGGCTTTGCACCATCACGTGATGGCAGCCATGACATGAGGCAAGGACTATTAAATTTGGTCTCATCTGATTTACGCGAAAATTAAACAAAATATTCAGTTTCCCAGAGGAAAAAAGACTCTATTGTTGTGCCTCCTGTCACGGCTGCCATCACGTGATGGTGCAAAGCCTCTATTTCCCAAGGATAGGAAATGTATTTTTTTGGTACACCAACATGGCCGATGTGACGTCACGTGAAAAAGCTTGATTATTAGAGAGTTTAAGATTCTYGTTTACGGCAAACGTGAAACGTCAGTTGACCATTAAAAAATTCTTTAAAATTAGTGAAAAGGAATCGCAAAAATCTCCAAGTAGTAGATAAACAAAAGAATACTTGTCTTTGTCGAGAAGGTTTGCAAAAGGTAAAGTGAAATGTAGGAAAACAATGAAAACGTGGTCACGTTTGCCGTTTGCGGGAAGGAAAAACGGGAATCTTAATCTGCCTATTGCCGAAAGGTAGATAAGTCATACATAATTCATTATATTATTCCTACCAATAAATGTATTTGGTGATCCTCGTGTTTGTGTCATACATGAAGTACCATACTATAAAAATATCGATCGTCCCATGTCATTGGTTAGTTTCATCTAATGGAGGGCCAAATCATTAGAAAGATATAAGCCAGTTCGTAGTTTTATAACCCGAATTTCTCACCTTCTGTTGTTTAAACTTTCTTTTGTTCCTAATTAAACAAAAGAAAGTGAGAAATTCTGGAAAAAATCGCATAAGCACTGAAAACGACCTTAAAGTGCCTATGACACCTAATTCAAAATTATCAGCATTGATTCTAAATGAAGTTAAAAAAAATTAATAGGCACTATAAACTACGAACTGGCTTATTGTCAGACATCACACGTACGAATGATCTCTTAAAAATAGATTAAATCGTGTAATAACACATTGAAATTATTTCCACTCGTTTAGATACAGAGTCGTAGGTCCTTTCCACACGTATCGGATATTTTTGAAAACGGAATATTTTTATTTCGGGATATGTTTTCAAAAAAATTAAATTAAAAAAAAAAAAAAAAAAAATTAAAAAAAAGGAAGGAAAAAAAAAAAAAAAATCTTTTACACGTAACGCTTTCGAACCGTATTCGCCCATCCACACGTACACACGTGACCAATACGTTAAAGTTAACCTTACAGTCCATAAATGCAGTTTATATATGATTGTTTCATTTACCAACCAACTAACTAATTTGATATACACCGAATCGAAATATGGCACCCAATCTGAATAACTATTGTCCTGGATGGACTAGCGAATGACTAGCCCCTCGTACATAGAGTATATTACACGGTGGCGCGAAAATATGAAGTTTACCTTCGAGTGGTGAAATAATTCACGAGTGAGCGCAGCGCGTGATATTACACGTTGGCGCGAAGATATGGAGTTTATCTTCGAGTGGTGAAATAATTCACGAGTGAGCGCAGCGCGTGATATTACACGTTGGCGCGAAGATATGGAGTTTATCTTCGAGTGGTGAAAATATTTCACGAGTGAGCGCAGCGAATTTTGATAACATTATATAGAAAAATCCACAAAGAAAAACTACGCAAGTTAATCAAAAAAATGTCCCGGAAAACATCGCAAGTGACGTCATCGATATTCTCACTAGTGAAGATATGGAAAATATGTTAATCAGGTCCCGGATGTAGTATGTACAAAAAATACGAGTGTATTTCCCAGTAAAACGCTCATGTCTATATAATAAATGGTCAAAACGCTTTTATGTTTAGTTTCCACGTGAACACGAGGCTCGATAGTCATCAAAATGGTCGCCATATTTCGATTCGTTGTATAAGAAAATTTTTTTAAATGTTGTTGTGACATTCGCATTAACATTTGTACTTGATATTACCCATTAGTTGAATATTGGTGAAGATTAAACTGTTATATGTGATTCATGACAAAGTTCATATGGGTTAAATTCATGTCAAAACGATATTTTTAATCATTCGTACAATATTGCCCCAAAATGGATATTGGTGCATGCACTAAACGACTACACGTGATGGGTAAGAGAAATTAAAGATTATATAATCGACCTAGACTCGCTCGCTAGAATCTACTTAAAATTTAAATAAATTTTACAGAATTGTCTTTAATATCAGCTAACGAGTTTTTAACACGTTTTGTACTTCACTAGATTTTTCCAAGGCAATTTATGCCAATAATAATGAGTTGTTTTTTGTTTGTTTTTTTTTTCTCTCTCTCTCTCTCTCTCTTCCATTCCCTTTTCTTCCTTCGCTTTATATATCATTTGCCCGCATTCATACGATTTCCACGGCTAATCGAAATTTTAAAAGCTTAGGCATTTTGTGGATGATATATAACAGGATTTATGTCAGATTGACACAGCTTTTTTTCTTAGGCAAATGAATAATGATTTTTCAGTATTATTTATCCACAATCTTTATCTTAATCAGCGCGATTAAAATCTTTGAAATTCGAGTATATTCGAAGGCTCAAAGGAACACGACCTAAGTCAGAGTTTTTAGCTATAATACTGAATCTATGATCCTTATATACACGTAAAAATGTCGCAAACAATTAAAATTTTAAGCAAGAATTACTGTGTTGGCTTTTCGCAAGCTAATACAAACAAAAGAGTAAGAAAATGACAGATCAAATATGAATTCATTTTTTGAAACGAAACTGCGATAACTTTCTCAAATCAAGGCTATTTACTTCCTTTATATCATAGATAACATCTCGTATCTATCTCATGTTTTAATCTTTTATGCTGCTTTTTCTTACGTATTTTCTCTAGTCGATAGTCCAGTATTTTCATAATCTTCACTCTTCGATAAAGTATTAAAAAAAGATGTTCGGTTGAATCATTTTTTTTAAGCTGCTGGGGTTAGCATCCCACATGAACAGATGTCTTCCGATCATCAAACACATTTGGTCCTAAAAAATTTTTGTTAAATTATTGTGTAGATATTTCTAACTGCATGTGAAATAAGGCCCTCGAGGCACTAATAACAACTTAAGTCATTAGGAAGCAAGAAGTGTTTGGTAGTTGAAGCCTTTTAAATTTCGTCTAAGTTCGATCCCTATTTTCCCTCAATTTGTAGATAAGGGCAGGCAAGACGTCGTCACTTGTGGTGCCTTCTTTGATTAAGAAAATCTTAGGGGCCTAAATACGAAAGAAACCCTCGTAGTAAATAGTAAAAKAATTCTTTGCTGAGATTTCGTTAAACTTTGAAAAGAATAATTTACTAAAAAGCTTAAATACAAGCTAATTTTCAACCAGAAAAATTATAATACAAGCTAAATTTCTTAAGCCATTTCTCAGTGTTAAGTCTGTAGTATCCGCGATATTGAAATAGTGTTAGCTTGAGTGTTGAGAGCATATATAATTCCATTTGAAAGTCTAATTATAAAAAAAAGAACGTATCGAAATTAATTATTGCTATTTCTCTATTTATTTAAAAAATCTTCATATTGAATTTAAAAAAAATGCCGGTGGCAACTATAGCCCGTCTTCATATATTCAAAGATGCACGCTTTATATGCTTGCAAGACACGACATAAATATTAAATCGATATAAGTAAAAACTATCAACATACATTGCAATATATACATATCTATAAAATCGATATATGCTGTTTAAAAACTGAATATATGACTACATTTCCTGCAATTTTCTTCAGAAAAAAAATGATATTTAAAAAGTAATTTCGAGGAAATATGCTTGATGATGTAGTCGAATGATGAGAGGACTTCAGGGCTCGCGGGAGGTTGTCGTCTCCCTCTTTTTAATTTCAAGACTAGAAATTTTATTCATTTGATCAGCGAGAGGCATTTCCTAAAGCATATCGTATAACAGAGGTTGTCTGTTTGTGTTCGGTTGAAAGATTAAAAAAGAAAGAAGGAAAAGAAAAGTATGGTAACTTAAAAGCAAAACAATTGGTGGGAGACAACGATTTTTTTGTTTTTCTTTCTATTTTCCCCCGACGAAGTTTGAGAGAAAAATATAACTTCTTCTCTCTTYTTTTTGTTTTTTTTTTGTTAGTGTTTTTCCTGTTTGCATGATAACCATTCAGACTATTATTGGTTGAAAATGTGTAAAAAAATAAAAAAATWAAAAAAAAACCCATTCGAATCTGGTCATTATTCATAATTCTTGAGAGAATATGACATATATATCATCTCAAAAAAGAAAAAAAAGTTAAATTTTAGCCTTTTATTCGGCATGCGATCTTTTCATTAAAGAGCATTAAACATTGATGGAAGGAAAGTTCAAAATTCTGTCCTTTATGCGAACAAATTGTAAGCAAAAAGCATTATTTTAATTATATATGTATTATATTAATCTTTTTCGTCGTTTTAAAACCAAAATAGGCAGGAAACGTGGAAAGAATAAATTGCTCGTAAAATAAAATATTCTTCTTGAAACTGCTCTTTATATATTCACGGCTATTTATATTTTATTCGTTTATTCAAAGAAAAACTAGAAAACTTGGTGGGAAATTGAATTTGAACACTAGAATTAAAAGTGAAAAACGCCAATAAAAGAAAACTAAATATGATTTGTTGAACTGAGTAAAAATAAATAAATAAATGAATAAACAAGAAAAAAGAAAGAGAAAAAAGGTAAAGAATTGCTTAACGTTTCAACTTACTTGCTCGTTGAGTGAGTTCATTGACAGAGCTTTTTCACTGGAATGGATTGTTTGCAGTGTCGACTGCATTGGTGGACGATTAATCCGAGTTGAATATTCGGTCGTCCTCTTCGAATTAAAATTCTCTAAACTCGACCTTGTCCCCATTGAAAGACGCTGACTTACTCCACTGCTGTCAAATTTGATATTTTTTGCGAAAAATTCCTCGTCGATTAAATGAAAAAAACCAGAATGTTTTCAAGCTACTACTGATGAAGGTTTACAGCTTATTGTAGATTTGATCCAGCTGTTTGTGTCCCTAGATTAATTAAGAGACAGCCTAGCGAGCTGGTGTGTGCGAACTGCAAAGCGAACGTCAATAGGAACTATTGTCGCACATTCAAATCAAGTTATTTAAATATCTCTAGCCTTCTACGTCATTGACAATAATTCGCCTCCAACCGGGGCACAATCAACGTCAATTAATCGCGATTTGAATCTTTCGAGTTTGCTTTAGTTGAGAGTCGTGTTTTGGTCTCGTTTGAATAGGACTTTTCCCTTTCTCTAAGGGAGATATGAGCCGATATTTCCGTCAAAGATATCGTTTTATATCTGGTCTATTGTTTGGACTTTAAAACAACCAAAGCTAAATTTGATATCAAGATCGAAGATGTCCTCAATCCAAAAGTAAATAATATCACTCTAATGTTCGTCTTGAGGACTAGCTTCGAGAACACGCACTCAGTATTATTCACATTATCATTTTTGCCTCCAAAACAAAGTATTATTAGATAATATGTTTTCTATCATTTGCCGTCTCATCCCTTCCTCATACAAATCCACAACTCCACCCCTCCCCTCCTCGGACAAAGTAAAGGTTCTGAAGCATATATTTAGTTTTAGTTTTGACTACATCTGTGGTTTACAGTATGCTATCGTCTATGCATTACTAATATCAAGATAAAATAAAATAAAATAGAATAAAATAAAATA